GCCAGATAACAAGACAAGTTCGTTACTATTCGGCTACGTGTCGCGCATGGGTGTATAGCGCGTTGGTCTAAGGCTATATCCGATACTCCGATTTGAATGGCCACCCAAAGGCGTGCAGCAGAACACATGAAAATAGGCCAGAAAATGTTTATAAGCAGGTTGATAAAAATAACGCACCAGAAGATGACTAGCTAGGGAGTATGTGGTAGGGTGCTGAGCGCGATCGGAGAATCGATGTTTCTTTTGAAGTCCGCGGACAAAGTCCAGATGTTGTCAGTGTGTCTCATCCAAACAGTTGCATCATACAAACCACTTACTTCACTAGTATATGGGAAAACTATGATTTCATAGTAGTTAGGATTGATTTACACATCAAGAGGGGAAATCTCCAGGTCACTACAGGTGCATACCAACTCCGGAGATGGGTGGTGTTTACAAGACGAGGATGTAAAGTGCAAAAGAACTTAGATTTTCTGCGCCAGAGGAATTATTCCCTCTCGATGGTCCAATGCCCCTATTCGTACTAGTTTCCAAACTCCGAGCTGACAACATGACATTCGTTTTACATTTGCTTAATTTGCATGAACTGTGCGCAAGGTCACGTTTTCATCAGTCTGCTAGCGGCAATAATCTTACAAGTAACTGTTTCCGTTTATTAGAACGAATCAAGGGAGGCAGAATCTGAGTAAAGAATGCTTTTCGGTAATTCTCGTCGGACTCAAACATTACCTGATGATGACAAACTGCTAAATGTGCCGGATTGGGCTGCGCATTGATCAGAATGTTTAATTCCAACAGGAACAAATCAATAAATCACGGGGTCATTGAAGGTGGCAAAATATGTACACGGGAAATTACAGCCGAAGTTGTAGGCTCTTGATTCACTTTAATAAATGGGAATTTCTGGAATGCTGAAGATCAGCATTCTCCGTGATTCAGCCAAGTATCTCTTTCCGCCCGTCGAGCTCACGTAGCAAACGTAGTCGTGAACCCAATCCTGTCTTGCCCCTTATATCCACGGTTACAGGAGTAAAACACACATCAGTCTCAGACTGTTTTCCGCCTGGACCGTTAGTACAGTCCAGGTTTATGACTCGTGCGACGTGATACCATTTAGGGTAGTTCCGTCGTGACACGTGGAGTGGATGGAAGAGGAAGAAGTAAGGAAAATTGGTGTGTCAAGAGGAATGAAGGCCACATTTCGAAATTGCTTGTAGTGCAAAGAACAATGAACACGTTTGGTTGCATACACTTGTTGACATGGACAGGAGCCGACCACAATAGCGATTGTGTTGTGAGTTCCGCTGTTCCTTCCTTTCCCGTTTACCTTCTCCTCTAATAAAAAATCACACCACATGAACACTATGATGGCATATTACTTTGATAACTTTTGTCTTTGATACTGCATAGTATGTCGGCTTTTCATGCATTCGTTGTATTACGGCACAAAGGCTGAAGTGTGTTTCTCACCTTAATCTAGTGTGTAACAATGGTGAAGCCTAGGTCATATCCTCTGTGTGTCCGTCGATCGCTACCTCGGTGTGCATCATGCGCCGTCGCTCCACGAAGTCGGGTGAAATCGCAAGATGGCCAGTGAATGACGCAAAATAACGCTATCAAGTTGTTTGAGAAACGTGTCTAGGCTGGCGCGTTCCGTCTCCCTTGAAGGTGGCCTCGTGGTGATTTACATCAGCAACTGGAGACACTAGCAGGCATTGGATAGGAAAGTCAAGAGAGTTGAGAGCTAGTTTCGCCAAGAAGTGTCGTTAATTTGGGTTGCACAGATGATACCAACTAGTTGGGAGACGATATACAGGTAGTGTGAAATGATTTGAATGATTTAGAAAGACACCCAGTTAAGGTCGGTTTAAACGGATACAAGCGCAACGATTTGTTTCAAGATAGGTGGGTCTTCTTCATGCAGTGACCGTTGATTGCGCCAAGATAGACCAGGTTAATGGTTCTGCTTGTGCAGGGAGCTAGGTTACAGCTATCAACAGTGAGCTTTCGCAACCAGTTGTTTTCGTACACCTAAAAAGCCTTAAATTGAGGCATCTAGCAGCGGAGTAAACTCCGTCCCACGCTTAAGGGCAAAGTGTGCGGTCCCGCCTAGCGAGTGCTGTTGCCGCACAATCGTGATAACTCAATTACTCAGTGGAGAGGTAGTAAACGGCCGCAACTTTTAAACAATTGCCGCCTACGAGTGATTGCTTGTGTTGTGGAGAGACTACGTAAGCAACACTGGACGCGGTAGTGTTGGACAAAATAGAAAGTACGTCCATACAACTTCATCGAAATGTAGTCAAAAATGTTTAACAAAAACTAACCGTCAATAAATCCCGCCCTCATGTTCAAATGCAAATAATATGTGGTTAATAGTAGCATAGCACTAGCAAATTTGAGGTGGCATTGTCTGTACGTAAATGTCTTTTGAATTAAGTGGCAGTGAAATGTCGACAATTTTGCTTGGATTAAGTGCTCCGGTAAACTATCCCACATGTTGACCATCCGTCACACAAAGCAGAGACGCGGGGGGGGGATCTGCTTCATGATATGCGCCGCACTACAAGCTTGTATCAGTTCATGTATGCTACACGGTGCGCGTAGGTGCAGCAGTAACCTCAGCACAGGGGAGCCACAGAAATGCAACATACGGTAGGTGATACGGCATACAGTTGGGGCCACTTACACCGATTTTCGCACGGTGAACCCGTACAATGGGGATGAATCTGGCAGTGACGACTAAGGCACGGTATGCATTAAAACAGAGAGCAGTATTGTAGCAGTACTCTTAAGATCGAGAAGGCCAGGTACAGTAGAGGGATGTATAAACAAAAACCGTGCAGCATCTGTCACGGCAAAGTCTACTCCCACAGATAACGGACTTTAAATCGCAGCTGTTTGAAAGGTAAGGAAAACGGTTTGAGTAATTTCGTGCTCAGACTTGCAGACGTCATGACGACAATCCGGAGACAGAATCGCATAAAAGTCAAACGGGGGAAAGAAAGGAAATCAGCATTTACAGTAAGTAAGTACCTTGCAGTAACGCGACTGAATTGGGATAGTATAATTCCGCACGTTTCCTACAGATATGGTGCAGCAGCAACCGGAGTGGGATAGGTACATTCTTATGGCTCACGCAAGGCTCATGGATTTTCGTAGTCTGGCACCCACAGAGGCGGAGCAGTGCTATGCACAGACCGAATACAGGATGCTCCTGGCCGCCATTCAAATACTAGGTCAATAATATAAGCCGACAAAAAGACTTGCGGATGCAAGCAAGCAACTGCTGTACGACGCCGATCGTAATCTTCAGTGCATGCTTGTCAGGCTACGAAAGGACAATATGGATACTGTACACAATGTGGGCGCAGTGTCAAGAACACGTCGACGAAAGAGAGAACATCATCAGAAAGGGATCGAAAAACTTAACCTGGTACAATACCTCCCAGTGAAAGAAAGTTGTCGAAAAGAAATAGCGTACCACACACCTTCCCAAATCTTGTTCCTTCGGGTTTAAGTTGTCTTAACTGGACGGGTGTAGATGTAATTGTGTTTGACGAGATGGTCCTCCGTGGGTGTACAAAACATACGGCGGTTCGTAAAATAACAACAACGAGTGCAACGGCACACGGATGCCAATGATCACACTTCAACCACATGCAAACGCGACTGTCAACCGCTATGCTCAGAATTTTCAATAACAAAGACGTACTCTGTGTGACATTACAACAAACCCGATTATGGATTCGCCGCCCATAGCTGATGGTTAAGGTCAACGACAGGAAAAACGATGTAACACAGCAGCAAATGACATGCGATTAGTTCCACACTACAATAATGGAGAAGCATACACACCAAAAGAGAATGATTTCCTATCAAAGAAAATGTCTTTGCTACCGACTAAACGGTCTTGGAAACTGAGCAACTCCTAGCACAGACAGGTCAATCAAAAAGTTAATGCCGGAAGAGCTAAGGTGCTATTTACAAATGGTTAGACAACAAGTTAATAACAAACCTCAAACAATTTCCAGACCAAATGTACACAATAATTCGGATCTCAAATACAACGTGCCGCCACCATCAATGGGCAACAGATAAGCACAATGAAGCGAATCGGTTCTAACGTCAGTGTCGTTTAAAGCGAACTGATCAATCGTCAAGCGATCAGCCAAGGAGCAGTGCACATGAGACGCGAGAGTAGCAAGTTTAACCATTGAGCGATGCAAAACGAGTAAACTCTTGTGGTTAATCAAGGTCAAAATGTGAAGGAGAAACAAAGTAACGGAAGTTTTATAATGCAAAGTCCAATAAGCAATCAAGGGGTAGTAATTAGTGGTTTTGGGGTCAATCAGTAGGGGAAATCTCCAGATAGGTTGAACAAGTTAATTTATCAGTTACACTAACCACCAAATTCCTTCCAGGAATTTCACGTTGCTTGACTGTTCTTTTCTCGCTAAGATTTCGAAATTAGAAACAGCACCAAGCAGAACAGAACACGTGTTCGAAAGACGGGGAACGTTAGCAAGATCATCACAGAGGACAGGTGTAACAAATTCAATGTTCGACGGACCGACGGGAGAAAGCAAACAACAAAGGGATCGAGTCAACGACCAGGCAAGGGAGTGTAAATGTGATGACTACAATCGATGCACAGCATCATTACCAGTGAAACCGAAAGATAACCGCGATACACGACAGAAGAAAGCAAACAGGGAGAAAACACTGATAAAAGAGAAGAAAACGTCGCGAACGCAGTTGATGCGTCAAAACGTTCCGTACGCAATTCCTCCTCAATTTGCTCACACGATAAGTTGCCGCAGTCAACGCACAATACTTCTCCACATTCATCGCCTCGCTCAATGCCACAGCCTCACACACTCGCGCGTACTCCGACCGAAGCGCACACAATTCCTTGCTCAACGCGCCTTCCGATACACACGGTCACATGCAATTCCTCCAGCATCTCACACCAACGACCCCATCTCGATTAACCCCGATGCGTTCCCACTATACCAGTTCTGCGATGTGTTCACAAACGAATCCACGCTACACACACATTGATCCAACTCCGACACTCCGAACGACTGCCAACGCTTGCAATACAAAGCAAGGGTCCGTAACTCAGCACCAAAACTGCACAGCACATCCGGCAGATGACGCAACTCGCCATACATACCAACCGATAGTTGCTGCTGATCCGCTACTCGAACACTCAGAGCCTCACGAACCAACTCCGAGCACTTCAAACGATCTGTCAACTCCAACAATGTACGTTCCAATAATCCGTTCACATAACTCGCACTAACCTTAGCAAAGTGGCACACCAACTTACCCAACAACCTCCTCGCATCCACCACTGTAGGTCTCGACGATGTAGCCGACCCAATGGCACCTCCAGTCGACGACACCGTCACCGGAATCCAACAACCAACACCCACACTCTGCACACCTACATAACGATCACTAGCTTACACACCATCCGGTCTGTGCTCCGTCTTCCCAACAACGTTCCACGACCACTAATGACCCCACATAGAAGATCCACATTTTTCCTCCACATTCTCACCA